CTCAGAAAGGGTCTCCAGAGCCCCATACCTCACTACATATAAGATTTTTGAGTTTTTCTCCTGGAAATAAACCAAGACGCCTCTGTCCAAACTTATTTCTTATGTACTGCTGAGCGGAGCCCTCATTAATTGACATGTCGTATTGAGGCAAAAATCTGAAGCACTAAGGAGAGAAAGGGCAGAGGTGATAAAGAATAATCGACATGTCGTATTGAGGCAAAAATCTGAAGGGGAGAAAGGGCAGAGGTGGTAAAGAATAATAGGGATGTGATGGCTGTTTTGGGTTTTTCGGGGTCTTTGGCCGAGTTCTGAAGGTTGTTCTTCCTAACGTTTCGCCAGTTTCTGCGGCTGCCATCTTCAGAGGATTAGGAGTCAGAGAGCACCAACAGAGATTTTCCTGTTCTTAAAAGTTGGATGTGACACTGTGACTGCAGGAAACATGCATTTTGAAGAAGAAGCAGTCATCCAGGGCTCAATTAGTAACTCAACCACAGAAAATGGAAAGAAAGACTATTATTCCCACCCCACAAGTGCTGGCACATCAATTTAGTTGCTACAGAATGAGAAGGGAAGCCTGATGTGTCTACTGATACATATAGCTTAGGAGAAGATATTTTTCTTGAGATAAAACTCTCCCTCCCTCCTCGGTATGGCTCCATTGAACATGTTCTTGATCATCCCAGAGTGCAGGACATATAACAATGGACTCAAGCTACAGAAAGCCAGATTTATGGTGAATATCAGGAAAAATTTCCAAACTTCTAGAGCAGTACAACAATAGAACCGACATGGACTCAAGCTACAGAAAGCCAGATTTACGGTGAATATCAGGAAAAATTTCCTGACTTCTAGAGCAGTACAACAATAGAACCAACTACCTCAGGAGGTGGTGAGTGCTCCAACACTGAAAGCATTCAAGAGAAAATTGGATGACCCTCTGCCAGATCTGCTTTGATTTGGATTCTTACATTGAACAGGGGGTTGAATTCGATGGCCTTAGAGGCCTCTTCCAACTTCATTATTCTGTGATTCTATGAACATATCCCTGAACTATAGTTTATTATCAAATTGTTAATGCGGGGGTAGGCAACTACTGTAATGCCCTTTAGATGTTGTAGGTATAAAGTATATATGGTGTGAATGGGAAATCTTTGATCCTCTCTAGTTGTTTTGGGTTCAACCCTGAAATCAACCCTGAGTGCTCCCTGGAAGGACAGATCCTGAAGCTGAGGCTCCAATACTTTGGCCATCTCATGAGAAGAGAAGACTCCCCGGAAAAGACCCTGATGTTGGGAAAGTGTGAAGGAAAGAGGAGAAGGGGACGACAGAGGACGAGATCGTTGGATAGTGCCACTGAAGCTACCAACATGACTTTGACCCAACTCCGGGAGGCAGTGGAAGATAGGAGGGCCTGGTGTGCTCTGGTCCATGGGGTCACGAAGAGTCGGACATGACTTAACGACTAAACAACAATGTTGTTTTGGAATTAATCTCTCATAAATCCGACTTAACAACTAAACAACAACAACGTTGTTTTGGAATTAATCTCTCATAAATCATGGCCAGCGTGGAATTATGAGCCTTTTGACAGAAAACATCTAGACTATTTCTGCTTGAAGACTGCTGAGTAAATTTCGTTTAGCAGACGGAGAAATTGGCTTGCTGGTTGTGAGGGAGTCACCACCAGCATCCTGGGCAAGCCGTCTAAGGCCAAAGCTCCCAGTAGACAAGAATGAACCTTGCATCCTGGGATGGTGGAACCAATGACCTCGAGAGGTGGTGAGCCATCCAGCACGGGAGGCATTCCAGAGGGACTTAGAAAACCACCTACGTACCTGGCAGATATCGTTTGATTTGTGTTCCTGCATCAAGCAGCGTGTTGGACTTGATAGCCTTATAGGCCCCTTCCAACTTCACGATTCTATGGTTCTGCGAGGAACGATAGGTGGCTATGAGTGAGCTGGCTGATGAAGGGCACCTGCGAGGGTCAGACAGCGGCCGGGAGAGAAGAGGAAGACCAGGAGGGCTCAGGAGCTTTCTTCAGGGAAACGGAGGGCAAGACAGAGACCTTGGAGGAGAATCATGCCATGGGACACAACATTCATTGTGCATCTACTGTAGTGTGATTCCATTTACATGGAAGCTTAAAGCACAAAAGTGGGATTTGTTGTTTGGTGTGAAATTAAAATTACTTCCTTGTTCTTAAAAATCCCATATTTTTGTCCTCATTCTGTTTAGAAAGGTGGGCGCAACAAGAGTGAAATGTGGAGATGAATTCTCTCTCTCTCTCTCTCTCTCTCTCTCTCTCTCTCTCTCTCTCACACACACACACACCACACACACACACTCACTCACTCACTCACTCACTCACTCACTCACTCACTCTGTGCCGTCCCCTTCCTTTTCTGACCTTCTCTGTCTCTCCCTTTTCTTTGCGTGGATGAAGACTCTCGCAGAGACCTCAAGTGTTTGCTTGCAAAGGGCTTTTGAATTTAGGCCAAGGGCTTTATGTGCCCCCTAGAACTGTTGATTTCTCATCTGAATGGGAGCAAGCAGGTTGTAAGGATGACAATGGTCCCTCTCGTAAACTCTCAGCCACAACATATAAACTCAAGAGCACTGCAGCAAGTCTGAAGAGCATCAAAATGTGTGCTGTGGGTGGGAGAAAACATTGGATTTTGAAGCGGAGGTCACACATCTTGCTATCACGCCTTCTCGCTCAGATGCTGCACTTAACCAGCACAGTTCAGAAAGAACTGCACTCAATCTGGACTGGTATTTTTCTTTCCATATTGTTGACATTCTGCGGATGCACATCAGAGCTGGCTTCATAGCTGAGCCACAAATGCACACAAATCTGCTTCTCCTCTGCAAAAACCTCATGTCCTTCTAGCCACACCCTGAGATACATTAACACCATTTTGCAAACACTGAACATAAAACTAGAGTGTACAAGCAGGTCAACTAATTGAGGCAGAGCGTTCTCCATTTTGAAGGTGTTGGTTGTTTGTCAGACAGTTCCCTCTGAGTCTGCTTTACGTTCAAGGCCAGTACCCAGTTTGGATTTGTTGTTGTTTAGTTGTTAAGTCGTGTCCGACTCTTCCTGACCCCATGGACCAGAGCATGCCAGGCCCTCCTGTCTTCCACGGCCTCCCAGAGTTGGATCAAATTCATGTTGGTAGCTTCGATTACACTGTCCAACCATCTTGTCTTCTGTCGTCCCCTTCTCCTCTTTCCTTCACACTTTCCCAACTTCAGTGTCTTTTCCAGGGAGTCTTCTCATCTCATGAGATGGCCAAAGTATAGGAGCCTCAGCTTCAGGATCTGTCCTTCCAGTGAGCACTCAGGGTTGATTTCCTTCGAAATGGATAGGTTTGTTCTCCTTGCAGTCCAGGGGACTCTCAACAGTCTCCTCCAGCATCACAATTCAAAAGCATCATCAGTTTGGATGATCCCCTGCAAAATAGAAGCTGTGGAAAGCAGGTACAGCGATCTCAAAAGGTACTTACTGGTCTTGTGCCTGGTTGTGTGACTGGCACATGACAGGAACTTCTCTAAATAGCTTTTGCTTCTTTCACAACTTCACAAACATGAACTGCTGGATAGCTCAGTGGTTTAGGTCTTTGACTGCAGAGCGAGAGATTGTTCTCCACTGTGCTTTCCTCACAGGAGATCAGTTCTCCACTGTGCTTTCCTCACAGGGGCTGAACTTGATGATCCATAGGCTCCCTTCCAGCTCTGCAGTTCTAAGATGATGATGATGATATTATTATTATTATTAAAAAGATACTGAACAAGGTAACATAACACTCAGCCTGTCTAACAAGAGCTAGAATTGATTATCCATAGGGTTTGATCCAGTTCTGCAGTTCTAAGATTACTACTACTATTGCTATGTTACTATCTGCATATATACACTAATATATATGCAATATTATGCAAATCAGTGCCTTATTTTGTTCCACTTTGGAGGGATGTGTTTGAAAATCTGAGTAACTAGGGTTGTATTGGTCACCGTGTATCCATAGAAGTGAGAGTTTTCTTACATTTATACATGGTAAGTATATTTCCCGTCTGAACGGGAGCATTCTCTAGACTCACGAAGAGAGTATGGCTTAATAAGAAGCTGACGGCATATACTAAGATCCAGGTCTATAGAGCCTGTGTCCTGAGCACACTCCTGTACTTCAGCGAGTCCTGGACCCTTTGTGCATGGCAGGAGATGAAGCTAAACACCTTCCATATGCATTGCCTCCGATGCATTTTTGGTATTACCTGGCAGGACAAAGTTTCAAATAGAGTAGTCCTAGAACGAGCTGGAATTTTTAGCATATATACATTACTGAAACAGCGACGTCTACGTTGGCTCGGGCATGTCGTGGGAATGGCTGATTGTCGGATTCCAAAAGATCTCCTATATGGAGAATTAGTGCAGGGAAATCGCCCGAGAGGGAGGCCACAGCTGTGATACAAGGAGATCTGCAAGTGGGATCTGAAGGCCTTAGGAATGGACCTCAATAGATGGGAAACTCTGACCTCTGAGCATTCAGCCTGGAGGCAGGTGGTGCATCACGGCCTCTCCCAATTTGAGGAGACCCTTGTCCAGCAGGCCGAGGCAAAGAGGCAGTCATGAAAGCAGCAAAATCAGGGAGCTGGACAAGGGACAGATTGTATTTGTCTTCAGTGTGGAAGGGATTGTCACTCTCGAATTGGCCTTCTCAGCCACACTAGACGCTCTCTTCAGAGCACATTACCATAGTCTCTCGAGACTGAAGGATGCCTAATCTAATCTAACATGGTAAATCTGCAAGATCAGACTTGCCAATTGTACAGATGATGCTCTGAATTCACATTGTGCACACCGAGATATCCCTTCTTTTCCTTTCTCCCTCCCTCTCTCCCAAACCGCATAATAACTACTTAATAATTGCATTTTTTTCATATTCTAGTTCGTATCTAATTGTTTACTGTGCCTGATATATGTGTATTTTTCCTCCCAGTGGGCTGTTCATTACCATTCATGACAAAGGACATATTGCAACGATGCTGAATTCATGGCCTGAAGAAAACATTAAGGTAACAGATAATGGAAGTTTTAATTGAATAAAACCCAGCTTTATAAAAAAAGGATTACAAAACATGCTGATGGTGAATTAGATATCAGGTGCGGAACATTTCCCAGGGGAGACTCTGACTGGTGCTCAGACTAGCTAGTGTTTCATTACAGAATGCAGTCTTAGTGCCAAAATGTATGACGCATCAGCTTTGCAATCAGAAGCAAACCTCCCTTAAGAAGTCAAGAAAATTAATTTATCCCATCAACTGGTTTCTGCCACATGCTGCAAGTTGTATTTCTCTAGAAGGATAGATTTTATCACCTTCTAAGTGGCCCTCACTGTCTCAGTGGTAGATTTGCTATTACACTGCATACCCAAAAGGCAGCTCGTGGGTTCTGTCTTTTTGGACCTTTACTCAGTGAGACTCTGATTCCATATCTAGAAGCAGTGCACCTTTAAGAAGAAAATGCTGTCTATGTATTCTAACATGAGTCTGCCTCTGCCTGCATTTCACATATTAACTTGCTTCTGTTTTGGAAATCGTCCATTGTTTGCGTGTTTGGTGACTCCGGCACATGGAAGTGAATGATCTGTGTGCTTGGAGAAGTACAGCTGTGAGAGGAGGAAATAAGCTTTTGCCTTGGTGTTGTCCCTTGTAACCTGGGTGAAAGATCCAGAGGACACAGGACAGATAAGTGCCGTTCAGCCAGAGCCACATAGAGCTTTTGAATGTGGAATTGTTCCGTTCTCAAGACCTCTGGTGGCCCTGGGAGTATGGAGGTGCAGCACAACCTACAGGAATTGTTGCAACGTTTGGGGTCCTTTCTCCTCCTCCCACCCATCATAATGGCAAATATTTTGCAAACATGGAAGGATAATGGGGAGACTGTCTGTGAGCATTAGGGAGCAATTGGAGGCCCACATGCATTCTTCCAGGAGGATGCTTTCCAGACAAAATTGCTCCCTGGCCCTTAGCATATTCCAAATTAAGCACTTCCAGACTGCTACCAGTCCATTGTGTTCCCTGGAAAGGACACCGGCTTCCACCCTTGCCTAGTCTACTGGCATGACTGCCAGCTCAGCTCATCGGAGTACTCTGCAAGTAATGATTCCTCTGAACTTCTGCAAATTAGAAGCTTGTGAAATTCAATGAGAGCATTTAGGAGACCAGGCAAATCAAGCTAGGAGCAATCATGTGGTTCATTTGGGGTTTTGTTTTCATAGAACAAGGGATTGCATGGGAAGAATTGTGCGCATCCAATTGAATTTACTTCGGGCTTTTGTCAAAATTTAACATCAAAGTGTGAGGTCCATTGTTCTCTGTTGTCCCACTCTTGCTAAATTCCTGACTCATTTCCTATTACCATCGGGGCAAAAGTCTAGTTCAAAAGTGCACCGAGGCAAATCGGTTCAGAAATCAATTTCAGAGGGTCCAAGAACCTTTTCCCCCCATATTTCTCAGTCGCCAAAGCCCCACACCTAATAGCTAAGCCACACTCCTAATAGGAGTGGGTCTAATGATCACAGTGTCATAGGATAATGGTTGGAAGGGGCTTGTGTGGCCATCGAGTCCAGCCCCTTGCTCAAGGCAGGAATCCAAAGCAAAGCAGATCTGACTGAGGGTTGTCTAGTTTTCTCTTGAATGCCTCCAGGGTTGGAGCACTCACCACCTCCCAAGATAATTAATTCCATCGTCTACCACCTCCCAAGATAATTAATTCCATTGTCTTACTGTTCTAACAGCTAGGAAGTTTTTCTTAACTGTTGAAGGGACATGACCTAAGAGGTTGATTCACGTACTTAATTATTTAATTTTTTTTAAAAAAAATAGGTCTGATACAGTGAACAAAAATCAGTTAAATTCCTTCCTTCCTTCCTTCCTTCCTTCCTTCCTCTTTCTTTCTTTCTTTCTTTCTTTCTTTCTTTCTTTCTTTCTTTCTTTCTTTGCTGTCACTCAGTTCAGCTTTGGATATGTGCCATAAAAGTTTCTATGTTGGCTTTTCTTTGACTAAAAATGAGGAAAGTGCGATGTTTAAAAAAAAGAAAATCTGACTCACACATTGCAGTGGCCTGACTTTTAACAATAAATAAATAAATAAATTTGGGGGGCAATCTGGGAATAAAAATCAGGGCTGTTGGGGAGCCCCCAAATGGGAAAAGTTGTCACCATCTAGAAGAAATATGGGGACTTTGAACCAAAAATGTGTTTTTTTTCCCAGAGGCTGAGAATTGGGGCTGGGGGGGGCATGGGATTGCAAGGGACTGCATTTGGACGCCCCCCCCATGTAGCCACTTGCCCACTTCTGCTCAAAGCAGCTGGTTCTGTGAGTCCAGCCTAAGACGCTAAGCCACTTTAAGAAGTTGATTTTATTTGCTTATCCTAGCAAAAGGTTTATCAGCTCCACATGTTCAGATTAGCTTGCTTTTTTCTGGTTTAGGAGAAAGGAATACGTATTTGGGGTGTATGCCATCTGATTGTGCAAACAGGGCAGTTTTAAAAGATTACAATTTTTGGAATAAAAAAAAATTAGATTTGATGCTAAGCTACAGTCCTTCTCTAGAAGTAATTTTAAAACTGCAGGGGAAATTATGGACTGGAAAGGTACCTTGGAGATCACAGGAATTACAAGGCAGATAGAATTAACCTCTACTGTAGCCACCTGATGGCTCTTTATCACCACCACAACTTTGTCTGGGTATTTAAATCTAGGTTTCATTGAGTGGCGACAGGAGAGAGCCATCAATGCCACCTTTAACTCACTAAAGGAAAGGCAGACTCTAAAGAAGGCTAATAAATTGAATGAATAAAGTGCTCACTTTTCACAGATACCAAGTTCAGATTTACAGCTGCTGCTGCTGCTGAAACACACACACATACAGAGAGAGAGAGAGAGAGAGAGAGAGCACACAAATCAGGCAAAACCTAAAAGAAATATAAAAAAGAAAGAAGACAAAAATGTTGTGGCACCTTAAAGACCAACTGCTATGTTTTAATGTAAGCTTCCATGGACCAGTCCACTTCCTTAGACCTTGTTCACAAAAGCTCACATTAAAATAGAGCAGCTGAGGTGTTTTCTTTAAGGTGCCACAACATTTTTGCCTTTTGCTTGTTTACTTGTTTTTTTGTCTGATACATGAGCCCAGACTTAAATGGCTACCTCCTCGAAAACTACATTTAAAGACAGAGAGAACTCCTACAGCAAATGGTTTATGTGGATTGATCAAATAGAGAAGCGATGGCGAAATTACAGCACACGTGCCAAGCTGGCACGCAGAGCCCTCTCTGCGGGCACACAAACCAAAAGTCGCCAGGTCACTACTCACCGCCACCACCACCACCCCCGCAGCCAAACCTAAGCACGCAGAGCCCTCTCTGCGGGCACACGAACCAAAAGTCGCCAGATCACTACTCACCACCACCACCCCCACAGCCAAACCTAGCTGGTGCCCTGACAGATGGCAGGCCAGGATCCGGAGCAGCTGGCAACGGATTCAGAGTGTGGCCTTGAGGCACCTCCATGCCTGGGATTCTCCCTTCTGCTGCCACTTCTGCCAAGAGCCTCGTGGCGCAGTGGTTAAACTGCAGTACTGCAGCCAAAACTGTGCTCACGACCTGGGGTTCAAGGTTGACTTAGCCTTCTATCCTTCCGAGGTTGGTAAAATGAGTACCCAGCTCGCTGGGGGGGGGGGGGAGCAATGTGTAGCCTGCATAATTAACTTGTAAACTGCCCAGAGAGTGCTTGAAGCGCTATGGGACAGTCTATAAGCACCACACTTTGCTTTTGCTTTGCTTTACTTCTGCTTCTGCTGCCACCCACTGGTTTGTAGGGTGTGTGTTTTTTTCCAGTTTGGGCACTCGGGGGCCAAAAAGGTTCATTGCCACTGACATACAGGCTGCATGTGGTTCTCTATTAATCCAGACTTCAGTGCCACAAATGACTTTGAGAGTAGAGGACGTGATGGCTGTCTCGGATGATTTGGAGTCTCATGTTTAGTTCTGAACGGGCTTCTGCACTATGAATATGCTCTGACCTGATTCCTGATTAGATGCTGTTGAGAACTATCCAATGAGCAAGCCCTGAGTAGACTCTGAGGTGTGTTTAGCAAGACTGGTGGGATTCAGAATCGCACCAGACTTAGCAAGCAAGTCTAAACCATCCAAACCACAAATGCATGCAGGAACACTTTCTCTATTTTTGTGCAAAGACAATAACCTTCCCTGACCCACACCCATGTCACAAAGGACCATCTACAGATATGATTTTTGCATGATTTATCTCCTTAATAAACTATGGATAGACCTGGAAGAAGAAGGAAATAGTCATATCCCTGGGTGGGGCTCAGTGCCTTTTGCTAAATAGCTTTCTCTATTTCTCTTCAACCATAAGAACACAAGCCATATGGCATAAGTTTAAATCCTCCTATGACTTATCCTGTTAATCTTATCCTGAAATATGTTGAGGATACTTTCGAGCAAATTCTTTCTCAACTAGGAAAGAATGGCTTGCGAAATCTGTTATTCTTTCTCTAAGTAAACACAGCTTTGCTTACTCCCCTAGAGCAGGTAAGGGTGCCAGAGTTAAAATATATGTGTTTTCCACGAACTACATGACCTGCAACTAATCATGGATAAGCCTGGACTCTTTTTTTTAATAGGCATCAATTGCTTTTTGTTCAGTTAACAAGGTTAGAACTTTTTTGGGAGCAATTCCACTGACATCACTTTTTTGTTTGTTTGTTTCTGGCATGTGTGATCCACCTAGATTGGTCCAAAGACACAGCGACAGATGTGACCTAGGAAGTTGTTGGAGGAGGGGGAACTTTAAGAGAAAAAACTTGGCAAGTGTGACATAGCACTGTTTGATACAAGAGCTTGTGAAACTGAAGCGCTGTTTTGACATAGCACTAAATTGGACAGTCATAATAAAAATAGTATTCAGAGGTGCTCACTTGAAGGCGATGTTCTCGTTGTACTAACATACACTTCAGAGGAGCACAAAGTGCAAATGCATTAGGAACATCCCCTTTAAGTTTATGTGTCTTGTCTCTCCTCTGAACATTTTTAAAGTTACAACTGTTGAATTTAGCGTTGAGTGACAGACAGACAGAGACCTTTATTGGCATACAGTACAAAATTAGAACACACTAAGATGCAAATAAAACATTCAGCAGCTAACATGGGGTAGGGAACAGCCAAATAACATCGTTAGGGCTTGGCGTTCTGCAGCAGCAGGATGCGTGTAATTTGCTAAAAAAAATTGAAAGCTGTTAGGGAAAAGCGTGGTGTTAATGATAGAGGAGGGTGGGTGACTTTTGATCCTGGTGAGAATTGTAGCCATTTGATTCGCTGGGATAAATAAACATTCCATGTGATGTATTTATGTGCCATAGGAAACTTTGAGTAGTCCTAATCAATCTTCCTTGTCTAGCTTCCTTGTCTAGTTTTACCCTTGATCTCCAGAAATATTCTATGATCTCCTATTCTTACGGTTTTCTTCTCTTTCTCTGTGTTTATATGTTCTTCCCAGAAGTACCGCAAATCAACTTTATGCACTGAGAAACACCCATCCTCTTTGTTTTTAAAACTGGGCAAGATTTATAGGCACACTGTAAGACATTTATGCAAGGAGATAAATAGGGACCACCTCGGTGGGAAGGTAACAGCGTTCCGTGTCTAAGTCGCACTGGCCATGTGACCACGGAAGATTGTCTTCGGACAAAACGCTGGCTCTATGGCTTGGAAATGGGGATGAGCACCACCGCCTAGAGTCGAACACAACTGGACAAAAATTGTCAAGGGGAACCTTTACCTTTACCTTTTAAGACATTGAGGCTGAAATATAGTTCAAAGATAGGCTACATGCTTTGCACACAGAAGGCCCCAGTTTGACTCCCAAATATCTGTGAGCCAAACATTAAAGGTAATGTATGATCCCTGTGAAACATGTGTTGGATATGCAGCTTGAGATTTACTCGAGAGATGCATGTCTCATCAAATATAGGTACAAGTTAAGACTATGTTTACCTTCCATCAGTCACAAAACGGTGTACTGTATACTGCAATACAAGATTCATGGTTGATGGAGAACGTTTGCTAGGATAAACATATGTCTTTCACTACTTGAAGGAGCTCTGCTTCTAAATATTTTCTGAGCACATCCTCTAGTATGACCAAGATACAACCTTCAAGGAGGACTTGCTAGCAATGTAAAGAGAGGGCAAAAGTGCAGACAGTGGTCCTTGGTGAGGAAAAAAAACAGATATTGCAAAGATGCAAGGACTCCATGGTTGTGTCCTTGGCGATGCTGGTTGGGGCATTCTGTGAGTTGTGATCCCAAAAAAAGTACCATATTTTCCGATGTATAAGATGCCCCCATGTATAAGACGGCCCCCACTTTTCTAATACAAAATTAAGAAATCCAAGTGGAAAGGGATCAAAGTGCTGCAGGATCACTTTGATCCCTGCTTTCCCCTCCACTTATTTTTGTTCTCTCCTCAGCTTACTTCCGTGTATAAGATGACCCGCAATTTTTAGTCTAAAGATTTTAGACAAAAGTATAGTCTTATACACAGAAAAATACAATCTTTTCTCCACAGTGCTCCAGGATTACTTCCATTGACTGCCATAAGGCCTATGAGGAAAGCAGCATCAGCTCTTGTAATCGTCATCATTGTGTATCATCAAGTCAATTCTGACTCACCGCGACCCATTTCAGAGTTTTCTAGGTAGACAATACTCAGAAGGGGTTTCCTATTCCCTTCTTCTGGAGGTGTCCTGGGATTGTGCAGCTTGCCCAAGGCCACCCAGGCTGGCTCTTTTGGGATGGACGCATAGTGGGGAATTGAACTCGCAACCTCTGGGTCTACAGCCAGAGACCTAAACCAGATATGCAACCAGATATCAGCTTTTGTAGCCTTAATTTAACTCTGGAAAATCACTTCTGGTTAACTGCAGCAAAAACTATTAATAGATTGCTTCTTTTGTAAAGAAAGAGGAGGGTTTTTTTTAAAAAAAAAAAACACTCCAGAGAACAATTTCTCTTTTGTTAACCAAGCTCCAGATTGTTGTAAGTTTTTTCTCCATAAGCTATACCAGTTACTGAATTATAAAAGAAACCCCTACCAGAGGCAGAAGGGTTAGAAGAGCTAAATTATACCACTTAGAAGCGAAGGGAAGCTCTTTAAAAGTGTAGTTTGTCCTTCCTGCAATAATGGCTGAAGTTACATTTGCTGATGGCCAAAAATGTATGAATGTAAGCAAATGAAATTGCTTCCTTCAAATGATAATTGCTGCTTGTTGCTTTTTGCTCTTAAGGGGCACGTAGAATGGAAATTTCAGGCTCCTCTTTTTGCTCTGCTGATTTCCTGTGTACCTATGTCATTGTTTACGCAGTTTCTGGCTGGTGAGATAATAGTTTTCCTCTGAATTGAAAGTAGTCTGGGAAAATGATGTGTGCAACTTATTTCTCGAAACAATACAAAACCTGTCACATCTGTTCAAGAAGCAGAAGGGACAGAAATGGAAGTACCAAGACTGGTAATTCCCACTTTGGACCCATCTGTTGAAAAACAAATATCATCACATCTTTAATTTTGACAGTTACTTAGCCTGCTTCATTTCAGGTGTTACTGAGTCCTGTGCTACAGTATACCACAGCGATGAATTAGACACATTGGCTGAAATCTTACTGCTTGGTGTAGTACGTCATAAGCAGAGTAGGCCCATATGAATCCATGGAACTTACAAAGGAGTTGACTCACCAAATCCCCACTGATTCAACGGGCCTATCCTCGCACAACTTTCTGCACTAAGCAACAGGATTTTAATGTATTCGCGAAGGCTAAAACAGGATTTTAGCCTATGAATCTAACCAAATGCATACATCCCAACATCTGCATTAGGTTTGATAGGATTCTGCATAATTTTAAAAGCTTTGCAAAGCTATTTGACCAGCGGCAGATACATTCCCCATTCCCAACATAATCTCTTGGAAGTCTGGATAATACAACTACTTGACACAAGGTTTTTCAAGCTAACCAAGCTGTGGCTATCGTACATTTCCCTTTAGCGAGGAAACAGATGCTCACACACCTTCCTTCCTTGACGGTAAAGAAGGATGGAGCAGTAAAACAATCAGGAAAGTGAAGTCATCTACTTTGTGGTCTAAAATTGTATGATATTTACCTTTGGGTTTAGTAAACCAAGCACAGAGTCAGTTCAAAATTGTCAGCTTATTAAGAACAGAATAGTAGCTAGTCCTGAATATTATGTAGAGCCCTTTGTTGGTTCCTCAGGTCACCTGGTTCTTTGGTGTTGAAAAGGTGCCACACAGCCTTTTGCCATCTGCAGAGTGTGTCTAGCTGGTCTTTCTCTCTTCAAGCAGTCCTCATGAGCTAAAGTAGGGTGAGCAAAGCCCACCCACCCCCAGGTATTATTGGACTATAAGGGCAAGCTGCCCAAGCCACAGTAGCCCATTGTGAAGACTGCTGAAAGCTGAAATCTAGGCAATGTTGGGAGGACTGTATTTTGCCCCCACCCTTGCTAACGAAGAAGGGAATGAGTGCTACTGCCAGAGTCCCTGGTTCAGGAGGGTACATAATGGAGGGCATCCTTCTGAGCCTGAAGAGAGATTTCATATTTATTGAGATGACACAGGAGTTTCTTCATCTGCAGTGTGAGCCTGGCTATTTCCCATCTTCACCACTGGCATAACAAAACTACCTTCTTCCTACATTGAGCAGCTATTAGTTTTGTTTTTTCCGTTATGAGGCAAGTGGATTTTTAAAAGACTGAATTCGTATTTATTCACTGGTATATTCATTCCTAAACAGTTCCTGACTTTATTCTGTCTGGGGGAAAAAAAACAGACCAAGAAAGAAGCAAACAAAAACACATGTATTGGTGTAGCAGTTGCATTGGTTGACAATACGGGTGCTGGCCAATCAGCGCTTGTCACTGCAGCATGCAGGTTTGTTTGTTTTTTGCAAGCAGCAGCTTTTCAGAGACAGGTTTTGAAAGTGGTGGACATGTTTCCAAAATGACCCTAGTGTGCTATGAATCTGATGTTCCCCCTGGCTGATCAAAGCTTCTTGCAACACCATGTCAAATTCTTCTTCTTCTGTTCATTTCCAGGCTATTGTGGTGACCGACGGAGAGAGAATTCTGGGTCTGGGAGATCTAGGTAGTTATGGCATGGGTATCCCAGTCGGGAAACTTGCTCTCTACACGGCTTGCGGTGGCGTCCACCCGCAGCAGTGCCTGCCTGTCCTTCTTGATGTTGGCACAGACAATGAGGTGAGTCTGATGGTGTTTCAAAACGAGTCTTGTTCGTTGATTTAGGACAATTTCCAGCAGTCTTTGTACTATTTTGCATCAAACGGAATAAAGAAGTGTGTGGCCTCTTCAATATTAAGAAATCTACTAAAGCACCTGCTTTTTGTGAACTAGAGGCTGGTTGGAAAGTTTAGTGGGTTACATCTCTGGCTACAGAGCCATAGGTTGAGAGAGCAGTTCCCCCACTGGGCCTCCCAGGAGGAGAGCCAGCCTGTTTGAACCACTTCTGAGTATTCTTTGCCTGGAAAACCCTAGAAAGGATCTCCAAGTCAGAGTTGATTTGATAGTAGACTATTATTATTATTATTATTATTATTAGTAGTAGTAGTAGTAGTAGTAGTAGTAGTTTTAGTATTTTTAGTAGTAGTAGTAGTAGTAGTAGCAGCAGCAGCAGCAGCAGCAGCAGCAGCAGCAGCAGCAGCAGCAGCAGCAGCAGCAGCAGCAGCAGCAGCAGCAGCAGCAGCAGCAGCAGCAGCAGCAGCAGCAGCAGCAGCAGCAGCAGCAGCAGCAGCAGCAGCAGCAGCAGCAGCAGCAGCAGCAGCAGTAGTAGTAGTAGTAGTAGTAGTAGTAGTAGTAGTAGTAGAGGCTGCTTTAGTTAATTCACAGATGTATCTGATAAAAGTGGACCGCAAAAGCGGATGCTGCAATATTTTTTTTGGATCTCGTAGCCATGATGTCTCTCCTCATTTCTGGACTTTTTCACACCCCTGTTTTTGGATCCCCTAATTCTGGAACACCAGGAAACTTGCACACTCTTCTGTAGTTTTTTTTTCTTCTTCATGGTTTTGAGTGTTAGATTTCATAAATCATTGGAACTCTTGGTCATGGAATTGCCGAGTTTGTCATGGAATTGCAAAGTTTGAAAAGAGATTCCACCTGAATCTCAGGAAGAACATCCTGACCGTCAGAGCTGGTCAGCAGTGGAATAGGCTACCTCGGAGTGTGATGCAGTCTCCTTCTTAGGAGGTTTTTAAGCAGAGGCTGGATGGCCATCTGTCGGGAGTGCTTTGATGGAGTTCCTGCATGGCGGGGGGTTGGACCCCATGGCCCCTGTGGTCTCTTCCGACTCTGTGATTCTATGATTCTATGAAAGTGATTATTCATACCATTTTCATTTTAAATAAATTGCCTACGTTATAAGTGAGGGGCTACAAAAAGTCTGAATACAAGGCATTTTAAAATTAAAAACAGTAAGGAATAAAGCAACTGCTAGAAAATAGTGAAAGACTAAGGTGAAACGAAACAGAAATAATGAGTAGTGGCTTGTCACTAGATGAGTGGTATCTAAATGTAATAAATAGATAAATAAATGTTTCAGCTCACTTCGAATCCTGAGAGAATTGAGCACTCCAGTGGCGAATGTAGGAAGAAAGCAGCAACATTTGGATCTCTCTGTAGAGAAGACCTTGACTCTGAGCCACCTTTCTATCCTCTAGATGTAGAAAAAACACATTTTAAAATGCTGAGTGTGATCCGATGGGGAAATAGCTCGCATTCTGAGCTGCTCATGACACCGTCTGCTGCAAGCCATTTCCCAGAAATCCCACGATGCACAGGAGATCATGACACCGTCTGCTGCAAGCCATTTCCCAAAAATCCCACGATGCACAGGAGATTGTGAACCAGCCTGACGCTGATCCGTGCCCCAAGCTGGACCTTTTTGCTCCAGCAGCAGGGCTACTCTGTTTCGGGGGGGGGGGCATTCTGCATGAATGAAAGGGTCACTTAAAGGGAGATTGCTCCTGGCCAAGTGACCCTGTCCAACACAATCAAGATGTGCTCCTTTCCTGCCTTCTGATCACATCTTGCGTCTGATCAGCATCCACCACCAAATCTAAGTAGATTGCAATTCACCACAGTCAAGAGCAGGTGAACTGCAGGAAGATGCCCACAGCATGTCTAACTCTGAATGACATGATCAGGAAGGTGAGCCCATGGGAATCAAAAAGTATATTTACTGCAAATAGAACCTCCAGTATCAGAGGTATAAAGGTAAAGGTTCCCCTTGACATTTAGTCCAGTCATGTCCGACTCTAGGGCGTGGTGCTTATCCCCGTTTCCAAGCCGTACAGCCAGCATTTGTGCGTAGACAGTTTCTATGGTCATGTAGCCCGTGCAACTAGACATGTAACACCGTTACCTTCCCACTGTGGTGGTTCCTATTTATCTACTCACATTTTTACATGCTTTCAAACTGCTAGGTTGGCAGGAGCAGGGACAAGTGACAGGAGCTCACTCCGTAGCGTGGATTCGATCTTACGATGGCTGGTCCTTGCAGCACAGAGGCTTCTGCGGTTTAACCCGCAACTCCACCATGTTCCTCTTTCAGAGGCATACATAAGCAAAAAGTTAAGTTATTAGCCAGGGATACCGTTTAACAAGTTTGATTGAAATCTACAGCATCACAAACTGGATACCAGTCTGAATCCACCCGCAGGCTCAAGCGGCCAACAAGTTTGATTGAAATCTACAGCATCACGAACTCAAAGCATTCTGGATACCAGTCTGAATCCACCCACAGGCTCAAGCGGCAGTTATAGCACAGCAGGGAGTTCTTGTCAGCTTGTGCACGGACGTGGTGTTTAAAATGTTCAGCAGGCCTTGTGGCAGCCGATGAATGCCGGACATCCTCCTGTTCTCCTGGCTGAAAAGCAAAACATGTTTTTTTTTTAAGCCAGCAGGCGTTGAAGGGGTCAGCTGCATCTTTCAGCAGGATCAGGCGAGAGAAAAAGATCCTGCCCAGCTTAGATGCATATTTTACTTTTCCTGGGATAATCACAAGGAAGGCATCACGTCCCCATGCTGGTTTGGAAGCAGCAGCATTTCAACAAAGAGAGAATCCCCCAGTGGGTGGTTTGAGCCTAATTAATTTCAGCGCTTTGTCAGATCGCGGACTCTTAACGCTTGTGATAATAATGCGAGAGGACTGCATCTGTGAGCAGTTTTCTGCCTTACGATTCAAAAGGGATTCTGTCCAGCAGTTTTAGCTCGTGCCAGGAGAGACATCTGCAGCATTTTTATATTTTCTCATTACCCAGTACTGTACTTACATCCTGACTCTTCACAAGTTAACAAAATATTCTTTTAAAAGAAAACAAAAAAATACATCCCCAATACCTTAATTATTTTCAAATATCAGGTGACAAGATAGAGTATTATGGCATACAAGGTGCCTCGGCTGCAATTGAAAGTTTCCTAGAAGTGCATTCCTGTTTAGATCAATAGTTTGTTACATTTACATCTGACCTTTTATGAGTATAACAATAACGATAATCAGAGAACTTCAGAGCTGGAAGGGACCCTGCGGATCATTGAGTCCAGCCCCGGTCAAGGAGGCACAAAGGGGAATCGAACTCTCGGCCTCTGTCTCTACAGCCAGAGACCTATCCAGCAGTTCATCCAGTGAGCATGAAGCCTCTTCTTTTTCCCCCATTCCTCCTAGAGACCTATCCAGCAGTTCATCCAGTGAGAACAGGAGAGCATGAAGCCTCTTCTTTCCCCCATTCCTCCCCACATAGTTCAAAACATCTTGGGGGAACCAGGCTTAGGAAAGCTGCTGTGCCGTTCCAGATATTGTTGAGCTCTGACTCCCATCATTGTTGAGCTTGGGCTGTGATAACTAGGATGAAATGGGCGGGAGGGGGGAGAGATTCATTTGAAATATGGTGCCAGAGAAGAGCTTTGCGAATATCCTAGAGTACCAGAAAGACATATAAATGGGTCCTAGACCAAATCAAGCCTGAACAATCCTTGCACGGGGAAAATGATGAAACTCAGCCTTTCAGCACACATCATGAGAAGGCAAGACTCGTTGGAAAAGACGATAATAGTAGGAAAAGTTGAAGGCAGCAGGAGAAGAGAAAGACCAAATACGAGATAGACTGACTCCCTAAATGCAACCACAGTCTTGAATTTACAGTGGGGTCTCGACTTACAAAATTAATCCGTATTGGAAGGCAGTTCTCAGGTCGAAAAGTTCTTAAGTCGAATCTGCATTTCCCATAGGAATGCATTGAAAACCATTTAATCCGTATCTGCTCTTTTCGTCCATAGAAACTAATGGGAAGCTGCTATTCCGCCTTCTGCCACTAGAGGGGGATATTTTTTTCTTTTTTTCCTTTTAACCTAAGATGACTTAGCTTTTTAAAAAAGGGGGAAAAGAGTTCGTAACTCGAATCTAAATTCGTAAGTCGAGTCCATATATTCCTATGAGAGCGGTTCGTAAGTCGAAACGTTCGTATGTCGAGCCCTTCGTAAGTCGAGACCCCACTGTACAGAAGCTGAGCATGGCTGTTCAGATCATTCATTCATAAGGTCACCGTAATTCAGAGGCAACTTGACAGCATGTAACAACTCGGGTCAATAAGTGTTCCCATTCTAACAACTGTTGGAGAGCCACAAGTTGCCCAGAACTAGACTAGATTAAAAAAATGTTGTGTTATTCATTCAAGAGAAAGGAAACTGAAAGTATTGTTCAAGTTCAGTATAGTTTCATGTGTGTTTCCTTTTAAATAGATGATTCTTTTTTTTCCGCTTCTGAAGGAGGCACACTGCAATCCGTTAGACATTTTAAGAGTTTGGTTGTTGTGGGTTTTTTGGGCTCTTGGGCCGTGTTCTGAAGGTTGTTTTTCCTAACGTTTCGCCAGTCTCTATGGTCAGCATCTTCAGAGGACAGGAGTAGCACGCCTTCGTGAATACTTTTGAAGAGTTATGTTATGTGCCGTCAAGTCAGAAATGACTTATATTGACCCTTAATAGGGCTTTCAAGGTAAGTGGGGTATTGCTGCCCAGAGTAGTCCTTTGCTCTAGATGGTAGAAGTTCAATTAAAAAACAACAACTGGTTTGACCAGTTCCACACACCCACTGACTTTCCCTGGCAGAGCCAAGGAATTGAACCCAGGTCTTCCAAGTCTTCCTCGGACACTCTGCCCACTACAACACACTGGCTTTTCTTGGGAGGAAGAGCGGGTGATGAATTGAATATCAATTCATGAATACGATTCATCACCTGCTCTTCCTCCCAAGAAAAGCCAGTGTGTTGTAGTGGGCAGAGTGTCCGAGGAAGACGTGGAAGACCTGAGTTCAATTCCATCAAAATGATGGTGAAGGTGGTGACAAACCTAGATCATTTTGGGCGAAAACCAAAACCTTTTGGCCTGGACCTGACAATGGTCCTCACCCCCCAAGAAGGCTGGTCTTGTTTGGGGACCATCCCCTTGTTTCCCTTCCGGTGAAATGGGAGACAGTGGGCATTTTCCTTAGACTTTGCCCGTGCAGAAAATACTGCCATAAAATGTTGCCTTTTTCTGCTGTGAATGTGATTATGGCAAAACAGAGAAGAATTTGAGTCACAATCCGGAGAATCTGCCGTGTATGTTTCCTGGTGAAAGAGCACAGCTGCACGCCTGCAGCCTTGAAAAACAAGAAACAATTAAAAAACGAGGTGAGAGGGTAAAATGTGCCTACCCTGTCTCACTGGGAAACAATAGGTCATTTGATGGAACACCCCCCTTTTTTTTTTCCAATAGAGTTCATTGAGTCACCAGTTCCTTGCAGGGTGAAAACAGAATCCCTTTTCACTTAGTCACCAAGCTCGGTGAGTCATCCTGCCATTCCACACACCTATTTCTATTTCCGTCATTCAGTCCAGGATCCTGTTTCCCACCAGACTACATTGGCCCTTCTGCAAGTAGCCTTTCCTGTGAGTCATTGGTTTATCTGGACGCTCCAGTTTGGCATCAACGTCGTTCAACAGAGATGGAAAGCCATCACGCAGCCAACAACATCATCTGTGTCCGACTTGGAACGGCAAGATAAAGACAGCTGGTCTAAAGCATTGACATGCTGTTTACCATCAGGTTAACATATCTCCAAAACTAGTATAGTTAGACAGGGAATGAGAATTCCAAGTTCTTACCCACACTGAGAGATGAACCTCTCTGGCTACCTGTGGACTAGTCCTTTTGCTCAGCTTGAGCTAGCTCTCAAGACTGTTGTGAGGATAAAGCATGAGAAAGGGGAGGCGTGCAAGCCACCTTGAGCAAAATGAACGAATTATTGTTGCTGTGTCACCTCTGATTCATGGTGTCCCAATGAATGAGCAATTTCCAAAAGGTCCCATCTTCAACTACCCGGCTCAGCTCTTGTAAACTCAAGCCTGTCTTCCTCTTTTCCTGCTGCCTTCCGCCTTTTCCAGCATTATTGTCCTTTCTAGAGAATCCTATCTTCTCATGATGTGCCTCAAATAGGACAACCTCAGCTTCAAGGTTTTTGCCTCCAGAGATAGATAGTTCAGGCTTGATTTGATCTAGGACAGTGGTTCTTAACCTTTGTTAAGATGCTTTTGAACTGCAACTCCCAGAAACCCCAGTCAGCACAGCTGGTGGTGAAGGCTTCTGGGAGTTGAAGTCCAAAACTCCTGAGTAACCCAAGGTTAAGAACCAGTGATCTAGGGTGTGCTTGTTTATCTTTCTGGCAGTCTGGGGAATAGTAGAAAATAAATGTAAATAATATATAAATACCATCTTCTTAACAGTGCGTTGTGTTTCAGAGACCTAAGCCTCAATGAATTTGCTTGTCCCAATGAGAGTAGACCCATTGAATCCGTTGCTGGGTAGTAAATCAACTCTTACATCAGCAATTAGCACTAACAATTAGATTTTGAGCCTGTTCTGGGGTAAGCCCTCCGTGTGACCAAAGGTTGGTCTGGTCCAGAAAAGCAGTTTTAAATAAACACTCTCACTTGTATACTGGGAATGGTGGTGGAAAAGGGAAGTCCTGATGACCCTCATGGTTATGCTGTAATGGATAAACCAGAGTAAACACTAAACCAGAGCTCGGAAGCAAAGCATGATCAACAACCTGTGACGAGTTACAGAGGACATTATGTAATTACAGAGGTGTCTGTTTATTTAGGGACGTGGTGGCGCTGTGGGTTAAACCTCAGAAGCCTCTGTGCTGCAAGGTCGGAAGACCTGCAGTCGGAAGATCGAATCCACGCCACAGCGTGAGCTCTCACCGCTAGTCCCAGCTCCTGCCAGCCTAGCCATTGGAAAGCATGTAAAAATGCGAGTAGATAAATAGGTACCACCTCGGTGGGAAGGTAATGGCATTCCATATGTAGTCGCACTGGCCACGTGACCACAGAAGATTGTCTTTGGACAAACGCTAGCTCTATGGGTTGGAAACAGAGATGAGCACCGCCCCCTAGAGTCGGGCACGACTGGACAAATTGTCAAGGGGAACCTTTGCCTTTACCCTTACCTGTTTATTTTGGTAAAGAGCGTGATTGAGTTGCATTTCAAAAGCTATGTCGCTAGTAGGAACAAAGCCACTTTCGTGAAATGAATAACATTTTCTGATCCCTTTTTTAAAAATAACCTGTGAAGAGCATATTTTGGCACATTGACATGGATTTTTCAGGTTCCCTACTGTTCGCTAATCGGTTGTGATGGAGAAGTAATGAGCAACACGAGAAGTAATGTAACAAGTTACATTTTGAACACTGTGACAAATAACAACCACAAATTACTTTTCCAACACCCCCAACATGTAATGTAGATGAATTGCTTTTTCAAAGCAACCTTCCAAGCTACAGGAGAAACCTCTCATATTTCAGAGAATCTTAGTGTTTACCTTGGGTTTGGCAAAGAGAGATTAATGATAGAGAAAATAAGTGATCTAGTGTGCTAACCTTGTTTAGGTTTAACAGCATGAAATGGAGATACCGTAAGCATCCGACATGCTGGGAACTCCATGAATACAAATCTCTGCCTTGCAGTGTGGGAGAAAGCAATGGCAGACAGACATAGTTTGTTTTCTCTCGCTCCGTCCTAGGCCCTTCTGAATGATCCGCTCTACATTGGCCTGAAGCACAAGAGGGTTCGTGGGAAGCCATACGATGACCTACTTGATGAATTTATGCAAGCCGTCGCGAACAAGTGAGTGGAATTTTGTGCGTGCGTCCCTTTGCTACTTTGCTTTAGAGGGGCTCAGAAATGAGCACATAAACATTCAGTTTGCAACCTGAATTCACACAGAGAAGATCCGTTAAATGAGTTTCCCCATGGGTGGTCTGAGACCCTTTGTACATGAACACTGTTGGGTCAAGATTATTTATATCCGTAGAAATCTGATGGGACACTGCAGCGATTTCCTGCTTCAATGTATTCTCAGGGTATTCCTGCTTCGATCTGTCATTTACACAGCTTGGGTGGTGATATTGCAAAACTCGGAGTTTGTGCCACACAATGTTACAAAGCTAATACACAAAATTGGCATAGATTGTGTGGGAATAACAAATTTAGGGGGCTCAGAGTTAATACTGCTGCTCACATGGACTCTTGAGATGGGGAAAGCGTGCCTTATCCAATGTCCCTCCATACCAAACTAAATAAATACTTCCCACCCCCAGAAATCTAGCATCTGATGGAGAAGATTAGCCTAGAATACTTTTCCTGACATACTAGTTTTCTCAGTGAAGGTAACGTTTCTCTCTCTCTCTCTCTTTTTTTTTCCAAAGAAGCTTACAGTCATAACCAAAATACACATAAAATCATAGTAAGGAATAATTTGTCAGAATCTTTCCTACCAGCTGGCATTGTTTGGCCCTGTGCGCGGCAGGGATAATCCAGCTAGAGCAGGCTATGCTTATTCACATATCTCCATCAATTTCCTGCGTAACTGCTCCACAATATGAAGGGGTGCTTCCGGTGTCAGATTTTCTATAGGGTACGTGAGATTTCCTCTCTCCTTGTCAGGCAACCACTTTCTGGCTTCGGAGTGATAACTGGTTCCATGCAACCGGTACCTGTGGGGCAAACCAAAGGGTCAATGTGACACAACCATTTTCTAAGTCTTTAATTACCCTTTTATTACTAACCACAAATAAAAGATAACAGGGGAAACTTGGCTTGCATAAAGCAGATTCCCCCCCATCACTTTGTAAAAATATGAGCCAGAAAGGAAATCTGGATTCTTCTATCCGCCATGAGTCATCATTCAACCCTCACCATCATCTTAGTATACGCTTTGAGCTGATGGCAAATTTCTGCACTGGAAAGAAGAGGAAATCATAGAATCGTCGTAAAGTTGGAAAGGACCTTGGAGGTCTTCTAGTCCAACCCCCTGCCCAAGGCAGGAGACCTCGTACCATCCCAGACAGATTGGCTGTCCAATATTTTCTTGAAACCCCCCCCCCCAGCGATGGGGCACCCACCACATCAGGAGGCAAGCTGTTCCACTGCTTGATGGTTCTCACCATCAGAAATTTCCTCCTTATTTCCAGGTTGGATCTCCCTCTAATGAGTTTCCACCCCTTGGTACTACCCTCAGACACAATAGAGAATCAATCAATGCCCTCTTTCCCTCTGGCAACCCTTCAGATATTGGAACACTGCTATTGTATTTCCTCTCAGTCTTCTCTTCGTTAAGCTAAACGTACCTAGCTCTTTTAGTCATTCTTCATACGATTTATTCTCCAGTCCCCTTATCACCTTTGTTGCTTTTCTGTGCACCCCTTCCAGGCATCTTTTTGTATTGTGGTGACCAGAATTGAACACAGCACTCCAAGTGTGGCCTCACCAGCGTTGTATAGAGTTGTTCTATCACTTCCCGTAATCTCGATGCTATCCCCCTGTTGATGCAGCCTAGGACTGTGTAGGACTGT